CTGCACCTATGCGCGTGGCAGGTACAGGAGATATACCCCCGAGGGGGCACGATCTAAGACGAAAAGGGAGGATTCCGAGGGTTTGGGATATACGAGTTGCATGGCACGCGCGCTGATAGGATCAGGCAGTCTTACAATGATTGTTGTTGTTGATGATGTTGTGATTGAGTTCTCATTCTTGAATAATCATTGTTGTTCCCCCCCACCGTTGCGTATTGTATTTCTCAATTGAAGTGCCCCCCTCGGGGCTCGCATCCTGTTCCTTGCCAGGGATAGTCTTCCTGCTCAAACTGTGCCCCTGGCCCCTCCGTCTACAACAACAACAACGGCTCTGATCTGTCTTCACACTTTATTCCGAGATCGCGCGCTTGCCCTGGACGCCCTCACAATTTATGCAGGACTCGCGCTCTCGTGTGGTACTTACTCGCAGTTCATTCAGACGCCGCGCACTCGTCACTCAGGAATCACGCTCTCGCTCTGGATCTTCTAGCGGTTTACGTGGGAATCGCGCTATCGTTCGAGATGTCGTCGCGATTCATGCAGGACGCGCTTCAGCAACCCGCTTGCTCGACCTGGCCGCCTGGGCCCGCCTTCCCGATCCACTCGCAAGGGTCTGCCCGCCCGATCTGCCCGTCCGGTTCTGCCACGTGTTTCCTGTTTCCCAGCCTCCCTCCTACTACTTTCTGTCGTGTTCCATCCTTCTCCCTCCCTCTTCCATCCGTCTTCTCTTCCCCTGTTTCAGGGGCTGCGCTACATGTGCGGGGCAGGTACGGGAGATATGCCCCAAATGGGGGCTCGATCGAAGACGACGAGGGCAGGTACAGAGGGTGTTGCATTGACGTGTGGAATGTCACGCGTTCGGATCGGAACGAGCAGTCTTAACATGGTGGTTGTTGTTGGTGGTGGTGGTGTTGCCGTTGCCGTTGCTGTTGTTCTTGCTGTTGTTGTTGTTGTTGTTGGTGTTTATGTTGATGTTGTTGGTGGTGGTGGTGGTGTTGATGTTGATGCTGTGGTTGTGGTTGTGGTTGTGGCTGTGGCTGTGGCTGTGGCTGTTGGTGTTGTTGCTGTTGCTGTTGCTGTTGCTGTTGCTGTTGCTGTTGTTGTTGTTGTTGTTGTTGTTGTTGTGGTTGTTGTTGTTGTTGTGGTTGTTGTTGTTGTCGTTGTCGCTGTCGCTGTCGCTGTCGTTGTCGTTGTTTTTGTTTTTGTTGGTGGTAGAATGGTTGCTGTTGCTGTTGAATGTTAAGTAATTCACAATCATTCTTGTTGGACCCCCCCCAGGCGCTTTGGCGCTCTCGCCTCGGCGCCAGCTACACTTTCATTGAAAAAGAGACTCACGCTCGAGCGGTTTGGGAGGCGCCCAAACCAGCCCCCCAACAACAAGAACGCTCCCGCTCGAGATTTCATCGATTTTTACTAAGGGCTGGTGCTCTTGCACGCCGCCGAAAACCGCCGTCCCAGCAACACCAGCACTACCGCTCGAGACCTCCTTTAGTTTTACCTTGGACTGGCGCGCTACTCTTTCTCTCATCGGCGCCGCCCCCAGCAACAACAACGCTCCCGCTCGAGACTTCCTCCCTTTTTTACTGAAGGCGGTGCTCCTCCTCGCCGCCGAAAACCGCCATCCCGACAAAACCAGCGCTCCCGCCTGAGTCTTCCTCCCGTTTTACGCTGGACTGGCGCCCTACGCTCTTTTGAATTGGCGCCGCTCCGAGCAAGAACAACGCTCCCGCTCGAGGCTTCCCCCCTTTTTTCTCAGGACGGCGCTGTTCCTCGCCGCCGACAGCCCCCGTCCTGACAAAATCACGGCTCCCGCTCGAGACGTCCTCTCTTCTTACTCAAGGCGGTGTTCCTCCTCGCCGCCGACAACCGCCGTCCCAACAAATCCAGCGTTCCCGCTCGAGACATCGTATTGTTTTACGCTGGACTAGCTTCCTACTCTCTTCAGCATTGGCGCCGCTCCCAGCAACAGCAGCGGCCCTGCTCGAGACTTCCTCCCTCTCTATTCAGGGCCAGGTCCTTGCCTCACCGCCGACAGCCTCCATCCCCACCAAGGCAATCCTGTCGCTCGATACTTCCTTGTTGTGCTTTACCCTTGGCTGGGGCTCCACTGGCGATCTCGCATTGGTGCGGCAAGGCGCGGGCATGCGTTTTCGAGGCGGGATAGTTTGACATTTCTCGGAGGAGGTGTTTGCAAGAATTCATTGGGCGGGAGATCTGGGAATGGGAGTCACGGACCCCGCTATAGAACAAGAGTCCTCCATGATGGGGATGGCTATCATGATGGTCGCATGCTTCGTGTGGGAGCATCGTGCATGCTGTTCATATGGTTGTTGTTGTTGTTGTTGTCGTTGTTGTTGTTGTTGCTGTTGTTGTTGTTGTTGTTGGTGTTGGTGTTGGTGTTGGTGTTGGTGTTGTTGGTGTTGTTGTTGTTGTTGTTGTTGTTGTTGCTGTTGTTGTCGAATTATCGTCGCGCTCTCGCGTGGTATTTGCTCGCAATCTATTCTGACGCCGCGCCCTCGACACTCAGGAATCACGCTCTCGCACTGTCTTTTCTCACGATTTGCGTGGGAATCGCGCTATCGCTCGAGATTTCCTCGCGATTTATGCAGGACCAACGCTTCAGCAACCCGCCTGCTCGACCTGGCCGCCTGGGCCCGCCTTTCGGACCTGCTTGCTAGGGTCTGCCCGCCCGATATGCCCGTCTGCTCATTCTTGCGTGGCCAACAGCTGTCTAGAGTTTGGTTCCTTAGATACGTCCTGCAGAGCCGCCATTTCTCAGAGATTCTCGATTCGTCCCCACCCGGTCTCATCATCGTCCTGGCGTCGTCGCAGAGGTCCTCGATCTTCGTCTTGGCTTCGTCTTAGAGATCCCCGTCCTGGCTTCGTCTTTATCCTGTCTCATGGCGCCAACATCGCAGAGCGGATTTCGTTTGGATAACGATAGGATGGGCCTGGAGTGTCCTGGAGAATGTCGTTCTGGATTTCGAGGTGAATTTCGTGCGGATTTTTGTTTGGCCAGGGATGCAGACCCAACGAAAATCCGCGCGAAATTCACGTCGTTGTTTGCTCGCCGTCTCGGGCAAAAGTCCAAGCAGACATCCACGCAGAACTTCGCTGCAGCACGCCTGCAAGGCCAGCGCAAGGACCTGCCCTGGCTTATCGGGAGCCGTTGAGAACGGGGGTCGATGCAGACGGGGGTCGATGCAGACGGGGGTCAGCCAGGGCGCCCGATCTTGCAGGGTCCTGCACGGCCAGGGTCGCATTGACCCGGGTTTGGGTGCAGGATCCTCAGGACCCTGCAGGACCCTTCGCATTGACCCGGGCTTGGGTGAGAAGGACCCTGCAGGAGCCTGCAGGCTCCTGCAGGCCTGCCTGTCCCGGGCCTGCATCGACCCGGGTCCGCAGATCCCCGAGGCTTCTGCCCCGGCTTCGGGTTGGGTCGGGCCAGGGCATATGGGGCTGACGGCAGGGCGGGGGGCTCACCGCGCGCGCAGCGCCTCCTGGGAGAGAGCGCGGAGACCCCGGCCCCCTCTCTCAGAGATTCTCGACTCGTCCTCGCCCGGTCTTGTCCTCGTCCTCCGCTCCGCCTCCAGCCTCCGGCTCGGAGAGGTCCGCCGCGCCGCGGCCGCCGCGGCTCGAGCCGGCGGCCTTTCGCCGGGCCTCGGCGGGCGGGGCCAGCGCCTGCTCGCTCCCCCTCTCGAGGGAAGGAGCACGCAGAAGAGGAATAGGTGCCTCCTCCTCCTCCTCCTTCCTCCTTCTTCCTCCTCCTCCTCCTCCTCCTCCCTCTTCCTCCTCCTCCTCTCCTCCTCCTCCTCCTCCTCCTCCTCCTCCTCCTACCCTGACGCGTCGATTCAGGAATGGGCCGTTCTCGGATCGCGAGCGGGAGTCGCGGCCGTCACTTGATGTGCAGCCTGATTTGCACCACGTCGGCGTCGCAGATGCATCGCCGACGTCGCCGATGCATCGCCGATGCATCGTCGATGTGGCGCGATCCTCCGACCCCGTCTACTCCGACACCATCTAGGAGGCCTCTATCTACCCTCCCCTCGTTTTCCCCTATTTGGGCCTCCTGGGAGGCCCTCGTCGCCACCGTTGGATTCGCCTCGTTGGTCAGAACGCACCCCAGGAGAGGTCAAGGGAGTAGCGGTATCGGTACCTCTTGGCTTCCCCAAACACTGGGAGCATGACCGAGATGTCGCGGGATGCTGTCGGCGCCGATCTTGGTCATGGTCCATGTCGGCCGTGGCCGACTTGCGAGGATGGTCCACATGTTGACGCTGATCAAGGTCGACGTTGGCGTCAGGGTCGACGGTTTGAGAAGGAGGCTGATTTGCGGGATCCTGTCGATGCCGATCTTGGCCATGGTTCATGTCGGCCGTGACCGACTCGCGAGGATGGTCCACGTGTTGACGCTGACCAAGGTCGACGTTGGCGCTGACCAGGAAATGGAGACTGATTTCGTGGGATTCTGTGGATGCCGATCGTGGTCATGGTCCATGTCGGCCGTGACCGACTCGCGAGGATGGTCCGCGAATTGACGCTGACCAAGATGGACGTTGATGCTGACCAGGGTTGACGGTTTTGGAAGGAGGCTGATTTCGCGGGATCCTGTCGATGCCGATCTTGGTCATGGTCCATGTTGGCCGTGACCGACTCGCGAGGATGATCCACGGTTTAACGCTGACCAAGATGAACGGTGACCAAGATCGAAACGATGTTTTCGCGTTCGGTCTTGGTCATGGTCCATGTTGGCCGTGACCGATTCGTGAATGTGATCCACGATCGTTTCCGCGTTCAGTCTTGGACCGTGTTCTTTTATTGCTTGGGGCATAATGGGCATTCTAGCCCCCGACCCCCCTTCCCCCCTATAACGTAACGCCCCTCCCCCCCCAATGCGCTCCGGGCACTGCCGCCGTGCGCATCGGGCACACGGCGGTGGGGAGGCGTTACATTATACCCCCCCCTCCCCCCCCCGATAATGTCCATTATCCCCGAAAATAATGACGCGCGCTCTTGATCCATGGCTCCCGTTTTCTTGCCCTCTGCCCTCGGCGATGGCGCGGTGGGGGGCCCAGCGGGCTGGCGCGGCGGGGCGGCTGGCGCTGGCGGCGCTCGCAGTGCAGCTCTGCGCCGCTGCTGGCCAGGAGGAGCCCAGAATCCCCGGCTGGCGCAAGGCGGGGCTAGGACGGGGTGGTGACCACACCGTGTGGCGAGTCGGTGGGGATTCGGGGTCACCGCACGGTTTGGGGACTCGAGTCCCTCTCCGAGGATGCCTCGGGCGACAGGGGCCTCCGAGGTTCCAAGACCGTGCGTTGACGGACCGTGCGGTGAGGTCTTGGGAGATTTCGAGGTCACCGCACGGTCTGTCACCGCACCGTTTCGGGTCTCCAAAGTCGAGTTTGATTAGTAGGTCAACCCTGCCCAAACAAGGATGCCCTTATGTCCTGTGCTCCGCGACCCATGCCCTCTATGTTCCACTGGCAATGTGGCCATCGAGAGGGTCTCGTGTCCTCTCGCGTGTCCTCTCCAATCCACCCCGACTGTAAATTTAGGTCGGGCGTGTCCCCCTACAGGCGGATTTGAGGCACCAAATTAAACATACTCAAACATACCCCAACATAATTAAACACAATAAGCAAAACATCGTCCCCAGACTATTGCGAAGGCCTTACGGTCGGTGCCGCCGACCCTGAAGACGATGACGACGACGACGACCACGACGGCGATGAAGGGCGAGGAGACGGAGGAGGAGGAGGAGGAGGAGGAGGAGAAGGAGGAGGAGGAGGCGGAGTAGCAGCAGGAGGAGGAGGAGGAGGAGCAGCAGCAGCAGAAGGATAGCGCCCCTTGGGAGCTTCTCGGGGCGTCTATGGGACCTGTTCGGGGCCTCGTGGGGTTCCTTGGGGACGTCTTAGGCTGTTTTCGGACGCTCTTGCGTTGTCTGGTCCCTTCGGAAGCCATCTTGGAGGCTTTTCGCGGCCGCCTTGGGGCTGTTTTGGGTCCTCTTGGGCCGTCTTGGGGGCCTTCTGGCAGCGCGTCCCCGGTTCCGTTCGGTTCGTTTCGGTTCGGGGGAAATTGGTTCGGTTCAATACGGTTCCGGTTTCGGAGGTGTTCGAGGCGGTTCCCATTCAGAGGGCGGTTCCGTTTCAGCCGGTTCCATTTCGGTTCTCGGTTCTTGCAGATGACGTGTGCGCGTGTGTTTCTACATGGTCACATGGAGGCGTTTGGAGGTTCAGTTGAACCAGGAGTCAGGAGGAGCCCTGGGGCCAAGGGGGCCACCGGGCCCAGCTATCCTGTACGAGCCAGGGGAGCCACTGGGCCCAGACGTTACGCATGGTGCCTCGACGGATCAGTCGACAGCATCGTGCCCCCTGGACCAGGGGGCTCTGGCGACAGCGGGCGATTCCCCAGCGCTAGGATAGAAATCGCTTGGACTACGGTCTGGGGCAGTACGAACCACTCACTCCTGGCATGGGCCATCCCAAAGGACAACTGGTAAGGCAAGGGCGCCGCCCGCGCCCTCACCGGGCGCGCGCAGGATGGTGGGGGCCCAGCCCCGGCCGCCGTCCCCAGTTCGGCCCTGGAGGCCCCGAGGACCCCTGGAAGCCCAAAGCGCATTTTCTAACCGTCCAAAAATACGAGTTGAGCTTTTCCGCCGTCCTGCCCTCCCCAGAGCAGCCTTGGAGGCTCCGAAAACCACTTGGAGGCCCCAAACGCATTTTCGAACCGTCGAAAAATTCGATTTGAGCTTTTCCGCCGTCCTGCCATCCCCAGAGCAGCCTTGGAGGCTCCAGAGACCACCCGGAGGCCCAAAACGCATTTTCGAACCGTCCAAACATGCGATTTGAGTTTTTTTTTCCTCCACGACCGGTTCCCGGTTCGGTTCCCGGTTCGGGTCCAGTTCGGTTCCGCCGCCTCCGGTTCGGTTCGGTTTGGTTTCGGTTCACGTCGGGTTTCTGAC